GATTAGCGGATTTCTGATCAGAAGAAAGGAGTTACAACTAAAGATCTTATCAGGACATGAAGATCTCAACTGGAGAGGAGGTCTCTGAGATATTGCCCATGTTTACGAACTCGACACCGGTGGGATGAGCAAGCTTTATAGACTTTGCAACTTCACCACACGCTTGAGGAAAGGTATCAGAGGAAGGCTCACACTCAAGTTCTAGAGTGACAAAGGCAAGGACAAGACACGTTGGACTAGCGTACGGGATGATTCCCGGCAGGTCTAAACCGTCCCATGGGGAGAGCTGTTGCGGGGTTGGCCCTTATCTGACGAGGCGAACACTGTCCAAGCCCTCATCTCGATGTCTAACATCCAAGGAAATTCCAGCCGTCTGACATTGCTCCTCGTTTCTATAGGTCATTAACACTTTCTTGACTCTAGTCTGTCGTATCTGTTGGGTTTCCAGCGGGTCTGAAGCACGGGGAAGTTTGGGGGAAATCTGGATTCGCGGGGTAGCCGACTAGGATTCATCTGGGGAAATGGAGCCATTGCGAGCGCCCCCACCAATTGTGCGACAGTCTATCGCCCAGCTCGTCGAGTCAGGCCTGTCTAGCGCCGCGCGCTTTTTACTCTCTCTGGACAATGAGGCAGTCGTTTCCGTGACGAACTCGAGCCGCGGGCTGGACTTATTGCCGTCAACAGGGGAGTCAACTCTTCCCTCGCCCTGATTGCTTCGGTTTTGCGGCCGCTGACCATTCCTTTGGATGAGTAAACAGTCTGGATACGCTGCAACATTCCGTAGTATGATAGTCTTGACGGAAAAGGCCTCCATGAAAGCCCGAAGGTTGACGTAATGTCGGAAGTATCCCCATGAAGATGGACATTTCCGCCGTTTCCCACCTTTCGAGTCGAGGCCTATACTGAAGTATCTGAACTGTTTTCATCTGGCGAGCAAAAGGATTATCTCGCCGAGAGGTTAAAATTTCCGGCAAGACCAGTAAGATCTACATGTAAGGGTTCCTCCTCTACAACATCAGGCCATGGAACATCGATGCATTTGAGATTCTTGGGAAGCTAATCTGGGACCACATCCTTCCCAAGCAGCTTCATATTTATGAACACCATTGCGGAGGGATATGGTAACACACTCACGTTCTCCAACCGACAAGTTGTAGTAGTGTGTGGACGCGATGGAGAGGTGGGGTGGACTGGGTAAATGTACTACTTGATTACGACGAAACCAATAGTAGAAGATGCATCATGATGAACCTTCCGTTCAGCACGCGACATTCGAGCTTCTGAACTAGCCACAATGTTTGAGCACACTGTTCACTGTGGAAGATGAGAGGAAGGTTTTATAATCATTGTGTGGGTCGGAAACCACTTTCCGGCAGCCTGCCATTCGTGAAAGCAATCCTCTCAGCGCATGCACTGTCAAGGGGCTAGACCGTTGGTCTCAAACCTGACGCGCTACAAGCATCCAACCTGACCGATTTGCACAAGTCAGGGCATACTTCACTTGACGTGGAAGAATCAAGCTGATATCGTAGCTGGCGTGTAATCGTGAGGATGCGGAATGGACAAGCATACCAAAAGTCTAAAGGACAGACTACACCATGGTATACTTATACATGCATCTATCTTTTACTAAGGGTCATACTTTGGACATTCCCAGAACGTATTTGTATGCTTGCAGTTGGTCCAGTCGATCACGCGAAAAATGACCAAGGACTTGTGCGGGATTCCTTTCGCAACCAAGGAGGGTACACGAGCTGAGCTCATACTCCTGTAAATTTAGACGTCAATTTGAAACTGAACATGCGAATGGAAGCAAAGAAAATGCTTTCTCACATTCCTCGAGCTTGAAATTGTAATATCGCAATTTCTAGCCGTGGTCTGACATTGGCCACCTTTAGCAAACCTCTGTTTTTCTATTCCTTCGGAGCGGAGTGTATTCCCGGGTCTGACACGGGCAGGATCTTCGCCGAGGTGGATGTTCGGCTCCACACGGCCTCGGACCCGAAAGACCGGCTTCTTCTACCGGTCTTATAGCAAATAGGCCGAGATGTCCCCATTCCTCTATTGTTCCTCTATTGAGAGATTGAGAGATCGAGGGAATAGCATTGAATGGTACTATATTTCCGGGTAATTTGAACCAGAGCAAGACTTCCTCAGTACCTGATACGCCACTGTGCCACTAGCCCAAACTAGAAGCGGAGGTTATCAGCGATGCTCCGTGGTACTTACCGAGTAAAAGCATCGTGGAGGGTACCTGATGTTCGGATTAAAGGCTTTGTAGAGACCAAGGTCTGATATAATGTAGTTGTCTCAGTGTTACTGCACGTCGTGTGGCCTACCTTATGTCCGGCTGTTTTGAGGCCCCCCACAGTTCGGGAGGCTAGACGGGAAATGTCGACCAAGCGGCCTCTCTCACCCTTTTGCCGCCGGGTAAATCGCTATTGCCATATTAATCAACCCAGAAATCCTAAGAAGCTCAAAGATTTTAGCATTTAGACACGGTCTAGATATTCCGACTTCATTTTTCAGCCCCTTTGAGAGGTGCTGATACAACGCCGCAACATGTCATACCTAGGCTTTGTTCAGGTACACTTCACTAAGGTACTTTGCGGACTTGATCATGCTAGAATCTTCATCGACATTTTCCATACAATAGCAGAGAGCTATAAAGAAATGGGAGAAACGCCTGCATCGTATTGATGGAAAACCACAAACCAGCACGCAATTCTTGGAACAAACTTGGACTGATGAAAGGTATTCAACCAGGTTGATTAACTTGCACTGGGACCGACGCCAAGGACCTGGTTCCGGGTGAAGTCTAGGAAACTTGAGATAGAACGAAGTGACATTGCACCCGTCTGGAACCCAAGGACGGGGACCGATCGGTTTTTAGGGGTACATGAGTTTAACTCATTGGCGCGGCGGCACTAGTACCAATTTTTGGAAGGAAGTGTGTGTTACATTCGGTGTTCTCAAGTCGCTTTGGTAGACCGAAATCGAGACTAGGCGCAATATGCTACAGATATAAAGCCACAGACTTCGCCTTTGCCTATGTCGTGAACAGCAGGAATGACAACCACACAGCAGCAATCAAGTCATCATGGTCACTTTCAACTCTCTTTTTCTGGCTTTCGCCTCCGTGGTCGGTGTTCTCTCTGCTCCTGGAGAGCTGATGAGGCGCCAGTCAACTCCTTCGTCTACTGGAACGCACAACGGCTACTATTACTCCTGGTGGACTGACGGTGGATCCCAAGTTACTTACACCAATGGTGCAGGTGGCCAATACAGCGTGGTCTGGCAAACTGGCGGCAACTTTGTCGGAGGTAAAGGCTGGAATCCTGGTGGACCGAGGTACAATCGTCCGATACCTACCGAGGCTGAGTTTTGAGCACGTCTCTGACAGAAACCCTACCTTTCAGAACTATCACGTATTCTGGCAGCTATAACCCGAACGGTAATAGCTACCTCGCGATCTATGGCTGGACTAGAAACCCCCTGATAGAGGTTTGCCTGACATTTCCTGACCCAACCAAACATCTGCTGAACTTCCTACGCAGTACTACATCGTCGAGTCCTTCGGTACCTACAACCCTTCCAGCGGCGCTACCAAGAAGGGAACCGTCACCAGTGATGGTGGAACCTACGACATCTACGTTAGCACGCGAACCAATGCCCCCTCCATCGACGGAACAAAGACCTTTCAGCAGTATTGGTCCGTCCGCCAGACGAAACGCGTGGGCGGAACAGTCACGACCGGCAATCACTTCAATGCCTGGGCTCAGGTGGGCCTGAACCTCGGCACTCACGACTACATGATCGTTGCCACGGAAGGATACTTCAGCAGCGGCTCTTCTACAATCACTGTCGGTGCATCAGATGCTGGTGGCGGCGGCACAAGCCCGCCTGTGACCAGCCCTCCGCCCAGCAGCGGTGGTGATGGAACTGTGAGGCCCCATCTCTTTACCCCTAGTCGTCTTTTACTGATGTATTATCCCCTTGCTAGTGTGCTGCAAAATGGGCTCAATGCGGAGGATCTGGCTTTACTGGACCGACTTGCTGCCAATCTGGGTCCACGTGCCAGGCGTCGAACCAGTGGTACTCTCAGTGCCTGTAAAGTTTAGGACCTAGGAACGAGGATGCCCTGAAAGGCATGCCGTCTTACTTGGAGCACAGGCTAAGACCATGGAGAAGTCCTCAATGAACCGTGTTCCGGTTTCTCAAGAAAATAATGCGTTTGATTGAATATGTCAAAGTGCGGACCTAAGTCGTGACCTTTCTCTATTTGGCATCAAATTTGGAAGGGGGGGAAATACGCGTAGTCATTGGCTTGTATTGATATTTATACGTCTGGCCTGCATAGGTGTTTGCGCAACAGATGTGGTCCCAATTCATCTCATGATGTCACCGATGACACGTACCTTGGATACCTGTAGCGTCGTACAATTCAACCTCTTGGCATGTCATACAAGGTACTGGTATATCACAATATATATGTAGAGAACACAGCCGTTGTAAGGACTTCGATTAAAAGCAGCGCAGTAGAGTTAATACACCATCATTTACGGGCAGCCATATAAGAAAGAAATATAAGAGAAGAGAACAAGAAAGTTGCGGCATCGCAAGATGCAGGAATAGGCCGGCCTGCGGAACGGGACTGGGGCAGGGGCAGACAAACACCGAAAGATCTCGTATAACAACAGCCCGAGGTATCTATCTGCGGACTGACTTTGAACCTTACAGACAATTGATGAGGCAACAAGTCGTCTGGATTTGTAAGCTACGAGAGGTCGTTTCCTGGCACTACCTCCGTCATTGTCTACCTTATGACAGGCCACACCGGAAAGAAGCAGTATTGCCACTTGCCAGAAAGCACCAAATCTTACGATCCTCAGACCTTACTCTCAGATGGGCCTATTATCCTCATTCTTGCCTGTGTCGTCGCATTACATGCTGGCCGTGAGGTCTTGTGTTGCTAGCTATTTTACTTTGTCGTGGCCAGTCTAGATCCAATGAGTCTGTTCTAGCAGACCTTCACTATGTTGACGAAGTATTTGAAGCTTATGATCTGTGTACCGCCAAGCCTGACCGGGAAACGTGGAGCCCCACCGCAGGACATCGCTTTTCGTTGACCGAAGTACATGCTCAAGTTCGAATTGTACTTCTTCATCAACGTGTGCACCTTTGGCGAGGGGACGTGCAAACGTCTTAGGCAGGACGTCTGGGGAGGTAGCGAGCATGATGGGGTTCGCTCCAGCGCCGGGTTCTCGTGTGGACAGGTTTGGATCAGCTCCGTGGCGCAAAAGTAAGGCTACGATCTCATCGCAGAACGAACGGGCCTGTTGAAGAACGGTACCTAGAGGAGTTTTCGACCAGGGTTCCGGTCCATCGGCCTCGTTTACATCTGCATTGTGCTCTATCAGTGTCTTTACCACTGGAGCTTGGTCGCTCTTGAGTCCAATATGAAAAGCAGACACATTCGGGCGCATTGAACTTACGTTCTTCGAATTGGGGTCGGCCCCGAACTTCAGCAGTGTGCGAATCGTGCTGACAGGATGTTTTTGCTCAATAGCCGCAACTAATGGGGTCACGTCATCGTTGTTCCACGTATCTGGCTGTCCCAAGGTATTGACTCCATTGGAAAACCCTCCGGCGAGAAGGGCTTCCATGAGCTTGGGACACTTGACTGAGTGAAGAAGATAGCTCTTCTCAGCCCAGACGTTTTCGATTGAGTGGCAGGCCTTGAGGAGATATCGTGCAACCTCGATCTTGTTGTTCTCGATTGCAACACTTAGTGCAGTCTCTCTCTGGAGAGTAGCTTCAGCATCATAATCAGGATAAATGACAGGACTGAGGGCGCCTGCCCCGTGAGCAATAGCCATCTTCACGGCACTCAGTCGGCCGGTTCTAGCACCCCAGATGAGGGCCTGGTGGCCATTGAGTGAGTCTAGGTGGTAAAGACTCCATCCGAAAATAGCTGCACATCTACGCGAGCACCGAATGATTGATAGAGTATCCTTTGCGGGAAGATGAAGGCCAATCTCGTTCAAGATCTCGTATGGGAGGTCGTCCATAAATTGAAAGCCTCGACTCTGAGGTCCAGTCTCCACCCTGGTTCTTCCCATTGCCAGGATCTTATGGGAGCTAAAGTTTGTCAGTAGGTGATTCAAGCCTTGAGTAACAGTTGAAGAGGTTACGGAATGAATGTATCATACCAATTATATTCGAAGCCTATTATTGTGTTACAAACAACGAATATAGTCAAGCGAACAGGATGATCGATTGACGGGCAAACAGGCTGAAATGAAAGTGAGGGCTATTCTCACGGGTCGTTCAATAGAGAGCTGTATTGAGATAGGTAACACAGGGCCTGGTCGAGACAAATCTGGGTGAAAAAGAGGGAGGGAGGAACGAGGATTTGCGAGGTGCGAGACAAAAGGCGACTGTGACAGAAGGGTTGAATACAGCTCCTGGAGCTGGCTAGTCAACAGTACGAGAAAAAACACTCACAAGCACAGCGTGGCAGCGGTGCAATGGTGAAATCGATAAGGAAACTTGTTTCCTCACAAGCGTGAATGAAAGCCTACAGGTGAATCAGTCCAAAAATTGTAAACCTGAGACGATGCCCGCTGTGCGTTGACTCGGCTATCGGTCGGGGTTTGAATTACGAGGTTGCCAAAGTCTGGGGAGTTTTATAGAGATTCAAAAGAATAAACACCCTGATGTTCAAAGTTTGCTTCTCATTTGGATTCCTTCATTTCTGTGGCGATTCGCAGCTCGTGAGAGGTCAGTCGTATCGGAGATAGATCGATCTCAAGGAAATACTGACTCAATTGAACGAAAAGTGACATGTCCGATTATGTTGGCAAACTAATGTAGTAGGCAGCGAGTCATCGAGCAACTTACGAACGATAGCTTCAATCGGAACATGTTTGAGACCTACCACTCAAGTGCAAGGTGGTCCGAAGGAGATATCGCGCAATGAACCATTGACCCTGCGCTGTAGCAACGTAACGAGATTTCTCTTTCCCGTGGACTAGACCGCTCCGGGGAAGCAATAGCGACTTGGAATCGCGGAGTTAATGTCGCGATGATCAAGCAGCTAACTACCGTTTCGGTTCTTAACCCTCTGTATGGCGGTAGGTTCTTTCATAACCCGGGTACTTGATCTTCTATTTTTTACAGCTTCTCTAACAACTATACTGGGAGGGAAAAGTCATAACGGGAATGAAAGAGGTATGAGGAATAGTAGCAACAGCAGGCAAGTAAGCTTAAACCCATTTGGTACCTACAAATCCTCGACTTGTAGCTTCATGACTCTTTCAGGACCGGGGCCTACCCCCGCGGCGAAAAGCTAAGACGAAAACTGCGAGTATTCAATGGAGATGGCAGGAATACGATTTGCGCTAAGTGTGTCCATGTATGAGCCTCTTAACCCTGCGTACGTTTTGGAAGCCCGAACAACGGTGACCTCGAGTATTGAGTTTGACCTCTTTCTCCGTAAACGGCTTTGATATGCATGATTTTCCGCAGAAATTACATGACTTTCAGTTCATTGATAACCTTCCACCATGGTCTTCCACCGCAGCATTTCTGATTGAATCAAAAAATTCACTTCCCTCTTGATCATAAAAAACCACCAGGATTCCCTCAAATCTCCTAAGCCGCCAAAGCTACTGTAGTGAGAGTAACACAGTCCCTTGGAAGTCCTGACACTCGAACACATCAACAACAGTCACAATTCGTCAAGATGGAACAAACATCACAAGACACATACTACTCAAGCGGCCCAGGCTCACTCAATAACATCACACCACGAGCTCTCCTCAACCTCTCATCTGAAATCGTGGAACATCTCATTTACGCTCTGTGCCAGTCTTGCCAATCGTGCGATCACGGCTGCGAGTCTACAGTGGCCGGGCGTGGTGCCCTCGAGAACTTAAGCTTGACATGCAAAACGTTTCGGTACCTTGCCGCACCACACTTGCGACATACTTTCAGCTTATATCACAAGCGCCTCTTGGATCCCATCACCTACGATGCCCTGGTTCGTCAGCGAGAAATCCAGTAGGCCCATAGGGGCGGCTCCCTGGCCGACATTCGATACGTTGAGGCCAATCTCTTTCTTTGGTGTATATGGCTTTGTCCCTGATAACGCCACTGAATTTGCCCCAAGGACTTACACCCATCAATACCGAGAGCATTAGCATCGTTACCAAACCTCAAGAGGCTCGACATTATCGTCGAGGGGTCCCACTCGTCTCAAGGACGCCAAGCTCCACTTCCCGATTCCAAGGCTGGCCTGTCTACAAGTCGATCAAGAGTCTTCAATTTCTCTGCGCTTGCTCTGCAGAAGGCCAGGCTGTATCAGCTGACCTTACTCCCGCGTAGGGTGGCAGTCAACTGATTGCCAAGCTTCCGAATATCACCAGTCTTCATATTCACGGCATCACACAACTCAAGTTCTTGAACGATCCCGTGCCCTGTCACGGTTACCCAACCTTGGTTCATCTCAGACGCCTAAAGCTAACAAGCTGCCGATTCATCTTCGCAACTTCATTCAGCCTCCTGCTTGAGTGCTGCAGATCGCTGGAGGTCTTCATCTTCAGTCGGGACGAGTCCCCCGACGGTAGCATCATCCAAGAGCTGAGTTGGAACAACTGGAACCTCGATTTGGAGATCACCCCACGTCAAATAGTTGATCAAATCAGCATAAAGGTACCCAAAGCCCTGAAGCATTTGGTTATCGGACCATGGTTTGGGTGGGAGGGTCAGTACGCACCGACGCATGTGTATTACCGCAATCGTAATCAGTTCATGCAGGAGAAGCTTGTAAAAAGGAATGTTATCGGATCGCTTCGGCACTTTAGGAATCTTGAAGAGGTTCATCTTTGTCAAGATGTGGTACTTGGACCCCCAAAGTGCATGGCCCCCGATGAAAATGGGTACCTGTTACTAGAAATGCGACCTCTCAGCTTGAAGAAGCTCAAAATCTCGGGGACAAATAGGCACCTCACACCTTGCTTGATAAAGCTCCTCGAGGCGACATGTATGAATAACCTCCGCGAGATTTGTTTGAGCTGCACAAATCTGTTCGTGCATTAACTTGACACCTTTAAAGAGAAGCAGAGCTTGATGAGTGATTGGCCTAGGATTGATGAGAAGGATCTGATTTATCTCACGAAGGGCTTCAAACAGAAGGGTGTGACCTTCTATGTAAATTAGCTGCGTCATTTGCTTGACATTTTCTTGCGAAATTAGTGGTCAGTCAATTAGGTGGACAAGGGAGGTGAGCAACATGTCATAGGGTCTTTCTTAATACAACTACATTTGGCAATACTATCCCATAATCTGCTAAATAGTATCAGTGCATCTGTTCAAGCACTTCTCTGCGTACTGACTCCATCTAGTAAGCACGCGCTTCGTTTAATACTACTACATTCACCCAAAGAAACGCGATGCGATATCCCTGAGCGATTTACCTCACCGAGTCTCACCGAGAATGACCGAGCCATCAAGGTCGCGATTGTGGGCACTCCTCGGTAAACTTCGGTCAGAAAACTGATGGGTCCCGAGGTTCAGGCGGGGCGCTGACACATCAGCCTGATTGGGCGATCTGGAACTACATGGAAGGATTATTCGCCGGCCGGCCGAACTGCAGGTCCGGACGGGGCCGAATTGGGAGCTTCGACCGTCGGTGAAGCCAAAAAAAGCAAAGGGCACACAGAATTCATTCCCCACGAATTGCCTCGGCTCGCCCACTCCCATTTCAAAGCCGCCTTGGACGACGGCGACGGCGTCCAATCGGGACTCGCCCAACCTCACCATGTTCCATCCATCTCGCACTCGCAGGGCCTTTTTCGATTGGCGATGATTAGTAGCGCGTCCGGTGCCAGCCAAACAGACAGCTCAGCAGTCACGCCAGTATCTGCACGTACGGAGTATTACGAATACAGAGAGCTGCGAGAATTCAGGAACGAGGATTCAACCCCGACAGCCCCGACACGAGGTGGATGATAATCCCGATTATCTCTGGACCTTTTGAGTTTCAGCATTTCTAAGCCCGGACGGCATTGCACATCCTTGGCCCGCCCCAAACCCGCTTCTCGAACACTCAACCCACCCCGCGACCCTCCTTTTGGGATCATCAATGGAACGGTCAACGGCCAGCACCCCAGCACATCTCCGTTCCCGACGTCCCCGTTCCCGCATGGTCGCATCGGCCGCAATCGCAAGCATTGCAGCTTCGCTTCCGGGGGACCCTGAGAGCCGTCAGTTGCACTACCGAGCGATGGGCGAGGGGCTGATGACAACGCCGCCTGCGTGTTGTCCAGTGGTGCCTCTCGAATCCTCCGACGTCCAAGGCTCCAGAGTTCAAGGGAGATAATGTCCCGCCATGTCTTCAGAGCCTCCGACAGGATGAGAGATCTGATAGGCCCAATGCAGAGAGCTGAGCAAGAGATGACAAGTTGAGGTGCCATTGTCTCAAGCCTCGGCATGTCGTCATGCCCGATTTTATCTAGCTCCACCACGGGAACGAGACGAGACGCAGACGCGGACGCAGATGCAGACATTGCAGACGCAGTAATCCGCCGCCTTTTGGTACGGAAATCTTCCTGAACTCCTGGAGCGAGAGAGTCTGCGACCTGCCACCTTCATATCGAGTATCGACCTTGTGTCCTGCCCCTCGGAGCAGAAGCAGTCTAGCTAGGGTCGCGCGTTGCCCGCAGCCCGCCAGCCCCTCCTTAACCCATATGAAGAAAACGTCCGGTGGGAAAAGACCCTCCGACTCCATTTGTTGTTCGGGCGGCCACTCCGGGGAAATCGGCCACACGCCACACCCACACACCCATCTTGGGTTATGCATCCACCACTCTGCATCCGAAAGTCTGCTAGGTAGACAATCTGTGTGCCCGTGGTACTGTGGTACCGTATCACCGTGTGGTGCGTCGACTGTTCGAAAAAGGGGACAGACACAAAGCAAAGTGAAAGGCAGAGGAAAAAACAAAAAAAAAAAAAAAGAGAGCCTCCAGGCCCCATCCCTACTAGCCCATGCTCCGTGCGCCGGAGAACATTCCTCGATCGTTCGCCAGCTCGTCGAGTCCTTCGGAGCTCGTGCGGGCCAATGTCCCGTCTTGGTCATCCTGCTCCGGCGCGGGGCATGAAGTCATGACATGAGCCAAAGGCAAAAACTCGGTGCAAGCGACTCACGCACCAAGCGTCCACCGCTGGCACCGCACGCTTGACCGCGGCCATGAAGCTTGGAGGGGTAAGTGTAATCCGCGAAAGCGGCGGAGGAAACGTGGGACACGAAAGCAAACGGGCGATTTCAGAGTTTGCGAAATAGACTGGATGTCCCGACTACTAAAAGAGCTCCCTCTGCTGCTCTACCTCCGACTTAGAAAGGCTCTGTGAATCAGTTGTCTCGTATTCTGTGGTGTTTGCTTATAATCTCAAATACATACCATTCGTCTTCCTTGATACCCTTTCCTCTTTCCACACAACATCATATCCAAAATGTCGCAACAAAACCTTTCCGTCGTGCTGGCCGAGCGTCCCACGGCCGAGATCATCCCCGGCAAGACCTTCAAGACTGAGCAGAAGCCTATCCCCAAGGCTGAGGACCTCAAGGATGGCGAGATCCTCATTGAGAACTGGTACCTCTCCCTTGACCCCGCCATGCGTGGCTGGTTGAACGGTATGTCGAGACCTTTACACTCTGCCATGATCATCTTCGCGGGGACAAGTGCTAATCAAACTTCCATCTAGACCGCCGCTCCTACCTCCCTCCCGTCCAAATCGGCGAAGTCATGCGCGGCGCCACCGTCGGCCGCGTCCTCGCCTCCAAGTCCTCCAAGGCCAAGGAGGGCGACGTCCTCCCCTCTTTCGGCGGCTGGGCCGAGTACAGCGTCGTCCACGACAGCCGCGTCGAGCCCGTCTCCTCCTTCCCCGCCGTCTCCCAGCCCATCGACTACCTCTCCGGCATCGGCATGACCGCCCTGACGGCCTACTTTGGCATGCTCCGCGTCGGCGACCCCAAGCCCGGCGAAACCGTCGTCGTCTCGGGCGCCGCGGGCGCCACCGGCAGCGTCGCCGGCCAGATCGCCAAGCTCAAGGGCGCGCGCGTCGTCGGTCTCGCCGGCTCGGACGATAAGTGCAAGTGGTTGACGGAGGAGCTCGGCTTCGACGTCGCGCTCAACTACAAGGACCCCGAGTTCAAGCAAAAGTTCAAGGAGGCCACGCCCGACTTCATCAACGTCTACTTTGACAACGTCGGCGGCGAGATCCTCGACATGGCGCTGGCGCGTGCCAAGGAGTTTTCGCGCTTCGTCATGTGCGGCGGTATCAGCCAGTACAACTCTGCGACGCCGCAGGGCCCCAAGAACTACGCCAACATCATCACCATGCGCATCAAGATGCAGGGCTTCATCGTCTTCGACTTTGTGCAGGAGTACGGCCAGGCGCGCAAGGAGCTTGCGCAGTGGCTTGAGGAGGGCAAGATCAAGCGCAAGGAGACGGTGGTCAAGGGCGGTCTCAAGGCGGCGGAGCAGGGTCTCGTAGACCTGTACAAGGGCATCAACACAGGCAAGCTGATTGTCGAGATCAAGAACCCCAAGGATGCGGCCAAGTTGTAAAGGAATCCCGAGCCAAGATCTCTGAGGAATGATTTGATGACACTGTAATTTTATGCATAATGACCAGATACTGGCACATATAGAAAGGCATGCCAAACAAATTGGAAAACATTACAAATGTATTTTGTCTGTACTGGTGCTTTGGGTGACCTGTCTGCTCTCAGTGGAAGCCTCCAAAAGGCTGAGGCTTCTGTGTCGCTAGCTAGATATGGAGGATGGAACCTGAATAAGAGACATGATCACCCCTATCATCTTGTTGGCGATGTCGTTGCTGTTGGTGAAGCATTGAGTAAAGGGCTGGTATCGTTGTGTCGGGGACTATGCCAGTACCCAACATGCAAAGATAGGGGGTATATGGATGTAAGCCATGCAGTCCACAAAGGGACCCGCTCCTGCCACCATCACCAACCGGTGATCGCCATCCTGCCCCAAGCTCCTCCTTTCTGCCGGGGCCATCCCATCTTCAACCATCGACTTTCTCGACGTTGCCCCGGACACAGCTCCAAACACACGCAGATAGATCTTTGCAGATATTCGCAGCACCTGTTTGAAGTCCAAACGTTTGCATGCCTCGCTACGTCGACATGGCACATTGCAATTTCCTTCTCTGAGTTGCAAGGCACCACCTCTTTTTTTAGGATTCACCGGCGCGGCTCGCTCGGAGGCTTACGGAGAAGACCCCAGCACCACGGCGTCGCAGGTAAATTTCCTTTCAGGAGGCTGCGCATTCCCAACGTAGCGAGAAGCGAACCCTCTTCGTACGATTCCTAGACGAACAGAGACGGCGATTACGACTAGAGTTTCAGGCTTTGAAAAGCTCTACTTCTCACGCTTCCTGTAGCGTTCTTACCGTGACCGACCACCCCCCGCCAGGTCTGCGTGCCTCGAAGCGAGACATTCCACTCCAGATCCACTCGAACTTCTTCAACTCTGGAATGCGCCCAGCCTCGAGTAAATGGAAGTGATAACTCCCACGCATCGGGAGACGGCCGTTTAATAAGGACGGGACGATTGGAGACACAAAAAACAAGAATGCTTTTTTGCAAACCGAGAACTTGAACACAACAAAGAAAGTCGAACACGAGTCCATGATACCCTACAACACATCCTCGACGTATCCCTAGTCGGAGCTTGCGAAGCCCACGACCCAACCCGACGTACATATCCTTCAAGTCAAGGTCCTTACTGTCCAACCTTCACGATGGCTTTGTCTTCAGAAGAAGCTGCCCACCTCCACAGGCAGGCAAAACGACGAGCCGAACGAGCCGCAGCCGAGATGAATTTCCGCGAAGTGACATCGGAGGAGTATCTCAAGAAATTACGGGCCAAACGGCGCCCCGGGAGACGATTCGAGATCGATGATACGCCTGCCGCGGTCGAAATCGGCGAGGAGCCGCTACATCCGCAACGAGAATTCAAACTTTCGACAGGCTCCGAACGGCAACGGACACATACCCGCACGAAGTCGACACCGACAGCGAACACAAATGGATTATCATCTGGTAGCCGTAGAACTACGCTTGGGGGTCCAATAGCCCGGAACACTCTCGGAAAAGCTTCGGTTCCCTCTCAGAGGCTGGCTGCTCAGCAGACGAAAAGCCAGCCCAACCTTTTCCTGCAAGCTGCGCAACAGCGGACGAACCCCGCCATCACTCATGCCAACTTGGGCACGATCACGACAGTCTCGTCATTATCAGCTCAGCCGCAAAGATCCAAATCAAGCTTGAGCATGTTCTACCCTAAAAAGCATGTTCGTCGCGCAGCGTCAGTGTCTGTCCTATCGTCAAAACCCCTGGAGTTGGATCCGATAGCCACAGCGCACCACTCCGGCCACGCTCGAAGTCAGTCGCTTGGCAACGCCCTCTCTGTCGTTGATACAGCGCCGCAGCCTGTCGCGCTCAAGAAGCGAGGCTCGTTGCGCATGCTGAAAGACAAGATTAGGAGAGTAGCCAGCTCCTTTGAACTTCGATCGACCAGAAGCGACGGTTCGGGGAGTAGTGATGATGATGGCTTGAAGAGCCGGTCCAGTAAGAGTCTTCTACTGCGGACGAAGACCAGATTTGGCTCGCAGCATCGACTTGGGACTGTAAGCGAAGAATGAGCAACGATCAAGATCCGGGGTGGTGCCACAGGCCAGACCTAGTCATGCGTGGCTGAGGTCCTTTACGCAGACACCACTGGAGAACGTCTACACTGTGTACGATTGACGCGGACGAGATACGACAGCTCTGAATAATGGCGTAATGTAATTATACAAAACTTTCGCATTTGTTCACATCTAGGCAAAGATACCCGGTTCATATTTCCTACTATCCCGCCATGTCTATCCGAAGTCGCGATGCAGCATCAACTCCTGGCACTTAACTGAAATTGAGGGCAGAAAGGGTAGTCGATGTATCCAGTTGGCAGCTTTGGGGTATAAAAGTACGTCCGCTCGTACTTGTCCAGCTCAATACCCTCCTTGATGCGGAAGACGAGATCGGGATTTGAGATAAAGTACCGCCCAAAGACAACAGCAACATCGTACTTCTTGTACGTTTCGTCCACAGCTGCCTTTGCAGACTGGGCATTCAGCCCACCAGCAAGCAAGACTGGACTCGCGTTGTCCCAGAGCTCAATTAACCAGCGCACCGTTCGCTGTCCACCACAATTGTCATCATTACCGCTGATCCGAGCTTCAATGAGATGGAGATACGCAAGCCCTAGAGGCTTCAGTTGCTTGACCAAGTATTCAAAGGTCGGGTCTGGGTCGTCCATGAGCATGCCCTGAAAATCACTGTACGGACTGAGACGAACGGCCACCCTATCGGCGCCGACGGCATTGACGACAGCCTTTGTCACTTCGATATGGAACCGAGCACGCTTCTCGATGCTGCCGCCCCAGCCGTCGGTTCGCTTATTGCAGGTATCTTGGAGGAACTGGTCTGGGAGATACCCATTGGCGCCGTGGATCTCCACCCCGTCGAAGCCGGCTTCGAGAGCGTTGCGCGCGGCGGTCGCATAGTCCTCGATGACTTGCTGTATGTCGCTTTCGCTCATTTCCAGAGGGGTAGCAGCGCCGTCGGCTACGGGTATCGCACTTGAAGACTCGAGATGTAGCCCGAGGGATTCGAGGACTTCAGCTCTGCCACCCCGACCGAGGTGCCAGAGTTGGCAGTAGATGAACGAGCCCTTGGCGTGCACGGCATCTGTGACCTTCTTCCAGCCTGCAATGTGCGCTTCATTCCAGATGCCAGGGACGTTATGACGCCCAGCGGTGCGGTACGAGATGAGGGTTCCCTCAGAGATGAGCAGAGTCCCCGGTACGCAGCCTCTTTGGGCATAATACTCTGCCCTCAAACGTCAGACAGTGAACGAGTTGAGAGACGATGGGGCTGTATGCTGACCCTCCATCATCGGAGTCGGTGTCCATTCATCGTCTGCGCGGTACCTTGTCAGCGGCGCCAGGGCTAGTCGGTTAGAGAGCTGGATAGGCCCTATATTCAACGGGGTGAATAGCTTTGACATGACTAGCTGGTGTAGATGAAATCGACTAGATGCAGTTAAAAGTTTGGAGCTATCATGACAAGTCAAAATAAGGTAGATGCGATGGAAGAGTCTAAAATCAAAGACGTAGCAGTATCCCGTCATCGACACCTTCGCTAGCGCAACTGATCCCAGTCCATTCTCTCTGACACCCATGCCGATGAAAGCCGAGTCGACTTCCGCGCCTTACTCACCCATCGCAATCATCAACATCGTCTCCAGCAGCCTTCAGCAGAGTTGAATCCTCATCGACACCGACACGAAGGGATTATTTTTACAACGCTGGCCTTAATGTGGCCCACCTAAGCCCAGCGCACACCCGGGAGAATATCCGGGGCCTAGAAGACTGGAAGACCTTTCAGAAACAGAACACAGCCGACACTGCGGATGCGTATCGGCACAAAACGTGCCGACAAAGAAAGTCGGACGTGCGATCGGCGACGACGGCCACCCAATCCTCGCCTGCCCCTGTGCCGACATATCCAGGGTGGATCGCCCACATTTGAGCCAGAATGGGAGAGTCGTTGAGGATTTCTGGTGAACGGATCAATTGCGATTGACGCAATGGACTCCCGGCAGGCAAGTCATTTCGTCGGGTGCGTCCGATGCTAACCCCAGATCCTCCCGGGGAAGTGAAAACCGGCGATTCGGCACCGAAGTTTGGGAGACCCGTCTAGAGTTGTGACTTCGTCGACATTTCTTGGACTGTATTTCGAGCCAAGACCTTTTCTTAGGGATTTCACAACCTACAGATCAAGGTCGAGGTTATCAAGATGAAGGAAGATGCACCCATCACCGAAACCAAGCAAATCCCACAAACGCAATCATCACAACAGGTCCTACGCTCGCCTTCACCCTCTAGCGACGAAGATGTCAACAACCACGCAGCTTCAGCCAGGCACCCCCAGCCCAAAGACGACACAGACGCACAAAGCATAGGCGGCCAACGCAACACAATGTCCCGCAAACGCATGCTCCTCGCCTTCTCCGCCCTCTCCGTCTGCCTCTTCGTCTCCTTCATCGACCAGACCAGCGTCTCTACCGCCGTGCCCGCCATCGCGGAGGATCTCGACACAGGGACGGCCACCTCGTGGATCGGGACGTCCTTTCTGATCGCGTCGACGGCGTTCCAGCTCATCAATGGGCGGTTGTCTGATATCTTTGGCCGAAAGAATTTGTTGATGATTTGTTTGGTGTTGATGGCTGTTGGGGATGTGCTTTGTGGGTTTTCGAGGACGAAGGAGCAGCTTTTTGCGTTTCGGGCTGTTGCTGGGATTGGAGGGGGTGGGATTAATAGTATTGTTATGATTATTGTGAGTGATATCACGACGTTGGAGAATCGGGGGAAATATCAGGGCAAGTTCAAAGTCTTGATCTCTTTCACTAATTTTGACTTGGAATTAATACTCAACTCAGGTGTTCTAGGCGCCGTCCTCGCCCTCGCAAACGGTGTCGGCCCTTTTGTAGGCGGCGCAGTTGTTCAAGAATCGACATGGCGATGGGTCTTCTGGATGGTCCCCATCATCAGTGCCCCGGCCGCCGTCACGGTCCTCTTCTGCCTCCCGTTGAAGCACCGACCCGGAAACTACAGAGAAAAGGTCAAGAAAATTGACTACGGCGGCATCGCGCTCAACATGGCCTCGACGCTGCTTCTGCTCATCCCACTATCTGGAGGCGGCGTGACGTACCCTTGGTCCTCACCATTCGTCATCGCTGGAGTCGTTGTGGGCGCTGTGTTGGCCGTCCTCTTTGTGCTCTACGAGTGGAAGCTGGCGAAGCTCCCCATCATGCCTTTGCGATTGTACCAGGCGCCGCACTGCAGTGCGTTATTTGGGCAGACGTTCCTCATGGGCCAGGCGTACTTTGGTAACTTGTTTTACCTACCTATATACTTCCAGTCTATTCTCAACTATGAACCTCTCGTTTCCGGGGCGCTGATCCTCCCCGTCATCATCACGACTTCGGGGCTGTCTATACTGTCTGGGCAGTACATGCTGCGAGTGGGACGCTACATGCCCTGCATCCTCGCAGGATTCTTCCTCTGGACGCTGGGGAATGGTCTCACGATCCTCTTTGACCGCGATACAGGCCTAGGAAAGATGATCCCGATCCTCGTGGTCATGGGCGCGGGGATAGGCTTGACGTTGCAGCCTACGCTGGTGGGCATGTATGCCAACTCCCGCGCTGAAGACCGGGCCGTCACGACAGGGTTGCGAAACTTCATCCGGACTATTGGAGGCGCGTTCGGGCTCGTGATTTCGGGAGTTATACTCTCCAACACGCTGAGACGGGATCTTCACGGGAAAGACTTTGTTTCCGATGCGGTGATTGCGGAACTGACTTCGTCGACATATACCTTGGACCAAAAGGGGTTCTCGGATGCGGAGAGGACGGTGATTTTGCAGGCGTATATGAAGGGTTTGCATTACATTTTTGTGTATTATGTCATCTGCTCTGGGCTGAGCCTGGTGTTGACCCTTGGGGTTGGAAATACGGGATTGAAGGCGAAGAAGCCGGCGCCGTCTGAGGAGGCTTCGGAAGGTCCGAATGGGGTGTCGGGAGAGGCTCCGATGAGTGATCAAGAGAAGGCGAGTGGGAATTAGGAGCATGGATGAATTGGTGAAGATAAACTTGCATGCAGCATAAGGCACTCAAAAAGACAGGGCGATGGGTCAGCATAGCATGAGTGGCATTTGATGAACTTGGTTCATGATCGATGTCACAGAGAATCGCGTTGAACAGGCTTCTCACTTTACAACGAGCTCGGGGCTTCTCATAGAGTTCCTTAGGGTGCGGATACCCGATTGACTTGCCGAGCATCTCATCGCGGAGCAGCGGAAGTCAGCCCGACTCCCATCCCGCAACTCAATGCCAAACTTGCCATCTACGCCTTTCAAGCTATCCCCGGTCAAGGCTCCGGTCAGAGATAGGCCTGGGCATTACATCAATATGCATCCTCTCATGCCCCTCGATCAATCTTGTTATCAAGAGCATCTCCACGGCCAACGATACCCCGTCCAGAACCCCGCGCCTTATCACCACCCCTGGGTCGACAAAAATCTCCGAAGTACTCCAACGGTTCGATGTCGTCCGATTGAGGGGGACCATCCCTGTTGAATGTAACGCCTCCAACAGCTTGCATCCTTGCCCCTTCCAGACCCCGAGATGCGTGTGTGTGTGTGTGTGCGCGACGGCGATGTGATAACGCGCTGCACGCTGCATCGAGCTGGGGAATGAAGGCATCAGCTCTGATAGGGAGAAAGCGTCTTGCTCAGTGCAGATAGCCGTGATAATCCGCCACTAGTTGCGGACTGGGTCGCCCGATGGATGATTGGCCGGTTAATTCTGGCCGATCGCCGTCTTGGTCTTGCTATTTGAACGGTTGACTAGGTAAGGTCGTTGACTCGAGATATGGACGGCGTGTCACTCAATATTTGCACCCTTTCCCCTGCCATTGACATATTCTTGAAGCATCACTGAATTCCAAGAATCCAGGCGTCCAACCTGACTTAAAAGTCACCCTCCATCATGCCGGAAGCATACCACGCCCACCCAGACTATGGCTACCCGCGCGACTTCAAGGGGTACGGCGAGAAAGGTCTTGCTTGCCCATGGCCCAACGACGCCAAGATTGCAGTCTCCTTCGTCATCAACTATGAAGAGGTTCGCCTTCTTAGTCCTAGCCCTCCCTAATTTCAGGCGGACAGGCATAAAGAGGTACAACAGCTAACATGAGTACACCCGCGACAGGGCGGCGAACGGTCAGTTCTAGCAGGCGACGGCGTCTCGGAAACCAACCTCCGCGAGAACCCCATGGGCCCCGCAAAGTACAACGAGCGCAACTACAGCGTTGAGTCAGAATACGAATACGGCTCCCGCGCGGGCTTCTGGCGCCTCTTCCGCCTCTTCAACTCCCGCAAGATGAAGTTCACCCTCTACGCCGTCGCTCAGGCCATCGAGGAGCAGCCCGAGGTCGCGACACGGTGCGTGGAAGAGGGTCACGATGTGGCCTCACACGCCTACCGCTGGATCGACTACCATGACGTGCCGATTGAAACGGAGAAGGAGTACATCCGAAAGTGTATCACTTCGCTCAAGAGTTTGACGGGGTATGCGCCCAAGGGGTGGTACTACGGTCGCAACTCGCCGCACTCGAGGACACTTGTGCCGCAGGTGTATGAAGAGATGGGAGAGGATCTTGTGTGGGCGAGTGATACATATGCCGACGACGTGCCGTACTGGATTGATTTGCCCACTGAGCGGGAGAAGGCTGATCCAAAGGGGTGTCTGATGGTGCCGTACAGCTATGACTGTAATGACTTCAAGTTCCACGTCACGGGTTCTGGGTTCCGCGATCCGCAAGGGTTCTACACGCATTTAAAGAACGCCTTTGATGTGTTGTATGAGGAGGGTCAGGAGGGGATGCCCAAGATGATGACGATTGGGCTGCATTGTCGTATTGTTGGTCGGCCGGGGAGACTGGCTGCGCTGAGGGACTTTGTGGATTACATTGCGAAGAAGGAGGGCGTATGGGTTGCTACGAGGACGGAGATTGCAGAGGCGTTTAAGGCCAAGTATCCCTACAAGAAGGGCCAGCTAGCATAGAACCATGATAGATCAGGTGGATGGTATTGATAGGGTATGTATATTTTGACGATTCATGAAAGCTTTTTCGACACTTTTCGTTTCCTTTTTATCGAATCTGTCTCCTAGACCGCTCCACCACCTCCCTTCTCCTCAACCTGCTCCTCAACAGTCTGAGAATTACCTAGTGACATATTCTCAGGTACGAGAACATGCTGAGTCTACGAATAGGCAGCCCAAAAACGTGTAAATTCGAGTTGGAGCAAAAGAATGATCAGTGGGAGGCTTGAACTCCCGACCTTGGCATTACTCAACATTTCTGGTGAAATATTAGTACCACGCTCTAACCAACTGAGCTAACCGACCCGCTGGTGATGACTAATCAGCCGATGGAAAATTGGAGGCTATTCGCAACTTGTGGATCAGAGGGCTTGGGCGAGCGTGCATGAGAACAGCCCCGACAGGAGACGAGTATGCCTAGTATTTACTTCTAGTTGCAGAGTTGCGATAAAAAGAGGAACTCAATCATATGTTAAAGAAGATAAATCTTCAGCTGCAATGTTTCACGGGGAATTTGTGGAGAGAGACGTCGACAACCGCAAAAGGTCGACACGCTTCCCGAGCCTTAAGGTGAGGCTGAGTGACGCTGAACGTCACATATGCCATGGATCCTTACTTTCTGACTGACCTTCCGTACTCCTCTGCTTGCAAGATGTATTCAGATCTAACTAAGCTACTAGATAGGTATGGCGGAGTAGAGCAGTCAAGTAATCTAAGCCTCGTGAACTCCGGCGAAGACATGACGAGGTTGGATGAGTCTTAGAACCTCAACAGCGAGTATCACAGATCCTAAGAGCCAAATCAAACAACCAATTGCAACTCTGCGAAGATGTGCAGCAAGTTGAAGAATGCAAACGCTTGTGTCAAGGAGATCGCGCACGTAAGCGAGTATCAGCGTAACCTATTGATGAAGCTCCCACAATGAGATTTTAGAACCGAGGTAGGTATTCAGCTCACCATTCACAACTCGCCAAAGTCCAAGTCAGATTCCATCAAGTTCAAGTAAGCCCCCTGCTCAAGCTCTTTTGTGAATTCCAACTCAAGTTCAAAACCATTACTTTTGCCGTGCGGTCTGTCTCCTCCATCAATTTTCTTCGGGCTGTGGGTAGATTTGAGGTCAGGCTGCACCATTTCGTTGAACATCCTCCAACCCTGCCAACCGCCCGGTGCTTCTTCATCTACCTCCATAAATGCCTCTTTCACGGCGTCGGAAATAGCATGGGCCATGGATGACTTTTCCCCGGTCTCGCTGCTCCGTTCAATGGCCACGTGCACTTCTTGTGCAGTTGTCGACGGCGACATCAATCGGTCGCCTACTGGATTCGCTCCTAAGTCCACATCTAGAGGCTGTGATCCCCCACCAGGACCTGCTAGCGGGCTAACGATTGTCTTGAACAGACTCCCCGAGAGGGCATCAAAGATGTCACGATACTTCACCGCACCGTGAAACTTCTCACCGAAGATGGTGAGGGATTGAGAGCACGCCCTCGTGGCTTCAAGCGTGTCATACGAGAAGAGAGCATGTTCCCGCCATAAACAGTATACAAGCGTCAAGCCGGCAATGAAACATGAATGCAATGCCATCATGGTGTAGCTTAGCGTCTTCTGCTGGTTTAGTCGCTTGTATGCCCTGCAAACGCGGGCGGCGGATCGAGCGGTAGTGAGGAATCTCGAGTCAGAGGTGTGAAGTACTGGAAGGAAAACAGTGTAGAGCGATAGGACCGACTTGTGGTACTGCCTAAGCTCCCGATTAGCATTCGGTGTCATGGCCCAGATTAGGATGGCATAAACACTCACAAGATGAAGAAATCTCTCGAGTCATGATAGGCGCTTTCTGGGTCGTACATCCAGCTTATTGCTCCGGCGCCTTTTGTCGGATGATGGGGGACTGTCCTCACCCATTCATCGAGTTCGGCTCTAATTTGTCCCATTTTGGTCTCAAGTCCCGCTCGTTCTTCTGAAGAAACCGAAAAAATGTCCTTATCAACTCGGTACACTCGGCGGTGGATCTTGGACTGTATCCTTCGGAGCTTAATAATGTGTATGAAAGGCTTCATGTTTGACCAAGGCAGTCCGGGTGAATTTGATGGGCTATTCAGTGCTGTCAAGTCCCAGAAATCTAAGCTATCACTTGGAAGCTACACAGCTGTCAGCATCATCATGTCCCCACAGCAGGCTCTCCTCTAACTGACCTCGGTATTTATGTCTCTGTCAGCGATGGCGAATGTACGTCCAAGTACCGCACTCGTCATACGGTCCAAACAGTAACATGACCAGAAGACGCGCCTTCTGATCTCGAGATCGCGTAAATCGTGAGTCGAGGTGTTAGATTCCTTTCGATGGAGACCCAGCTCTATGCAGAGCGTGACAGCGTACCGCACCTGAGACCATGAGCCGGCACCGTAGGGACTTCTAGTTCCATGCACGGCGAGTAGGAGGAGAAATTGTACAGTGGCTAGATTGTGTTGTTCCAGTATGTAGTCCATCGGCTCAATGGCCGCCGTGAGATGTTTCTGACAGTGACCATGTTAGATTTGTAACGGCAAGCTTTGCCTTCAGGAAACTTTCACCTGGGGATCTACATCACAAGGCTTCTTCATCAACTGTAGGAACCTTGCGGATATGGCGTATATCAGGTGCATAATGCTTCGGTGCTGAATAGACAGGGCTCCACGGTCGTATTGCTTCTGGAATAGCTTAGTGTACAGTTTGCGATCCAGAATAGGCCATCGCGTATGAAGCCGATCAGAGAAGACATCAAACAGCACCTCCGCTTGCTCAGGGCACGGGAACTCGGATTGGGATTCCTTCGGGCTAGAGGACACCGATACTTCGAAATGCAATTGCGGAGTCGATGAGAGAGCTTGAGTCGTTGGTATAGCATCAAACGCAGCTTTACCGCTCGAGCTGTGAAAGATGGAAGACTGGATCATGCGCGCAATGGTTGCGCCGGAACTGGATCCTAGGTAGAATGGCTCTGGTGCAGTGTCCGTTGTGCCAGATGCACAGAGCGACAAGTACGCAACGCCGTTGACTAGAGAGGACTGCTCATCGTCCGATAGTGGGTCTCGTGAATTTCTCCGAGGATCTTTCGTCTTGGGTTCCGGTGGTGTTGCCACGGAAGATGTCCTGACAAAGTGGTCTTCTGCGTAATCTGGCATCCGGGCCTCGAGAAATGCGATTCTCTCTTCTAGTGCGCTGATGTACCTGAAGCTCGTGTAAGTATACAATTGTACCAGCATGAAGGGAAAGACTTGCAGCGACTTTCCGCCAGGATAGTGCGGCCTCAGTGCACGTTCATAGACACATGACGAGTTGGACTTGACGCAAGACCTGCAACTCGGATGTGCGCCGTCGCACTTCCATGTCGTATTTAGTCAGCAAATGAACAATGGTGATCTAGCTGTCGATATCAATGGCTTACACGCTGTTTCCTTCTCTTGCATCGCCTACAAGCCAAGGCCACCCTCGACTTCCGGGTCTGCGCCGCCGAGACCGGTGGGCCGGTGCGGGGACTCACGAGACCCTCCGTGTTGAAGCCGGCCGACGTGGAGTTGACCAGATCTACGGGAGATGTCTTGTCCAGCATGTTCTCGGTCTGAACATGAGCAGTCATCTCGAGCATTCTCCTGATTCGGCTTGTATGTATGGTTGAATACTGCAGTGAGGATACGAAGTAGGAACTTAGGAAAATTTCGAGCCGAAGTAGAATGGGCCAGGACAACGCCTGCAAGGATCCTCCACAATCAGAATCGGGAGTGTCATTGGACACACTCATGCAAACGCAAGTATGAGATGTATCGGTCGTTAGGAATATCGAAGGATTCGGACACCGAAGCCCCCCTTCCCCGGATAGCACGCGGCCTGCTTATGACGGGAACTTGACCCAGAAATTTAGTCCGGTGATGGCTTGCGTCATCATTCAGCTTTACTTCTACTCCTAATTGCCTTACACTGGTACAGACACCTTCATAACATCCAGAAACTCATTCGTTATTCTATCCATGGTTGCCCCTTCCACGGGAATAAGCACACAGCAGCTAGGACTCTGCCTCCTAGCACCATGCCCTCACTCAGAACCCGAGTGATACGCAAACGTCTGTAGTTTCTTACCGATGACCGCATCTTTACCGAATTGGGATAAATATTCGGACGTCCACCGCAGATAAGACCAACGGCCGACCACCGCCTTATCTTGGTGGATCACACCCGAGACCAGGTCCCCGGCCCATCCATCTACATGCCAAGCACCGCTCTCCGCATATGCCATGCCGAATTCTTATCATACCTTAGTTGTAACTCATGCTTAGGCAGCTCACTGGGCTCGCGTGGCGACGCACTGTCTATCGGCTGGAAAGTCGCCGACGAATGAGGAACTACAATCAGGGTTGCAATAGAGCTGATACTTGAGCACCGGGCCTCTAATATGGACGAAGGCCCTCAGCGTTGTAGAGCAAAAAAGAAAGAGGACGGGCATTTCCATGAAAACATGTCTCTTTGATGGTTGATAGGGTTCTGATAGTGCTGTTCGGTCACCACAGGTTCAACTAATTATGGTACGCATTCGTATACCAACGAAAGGCGAAATAGCCGCGCCTTTCCAATCGAAAGACGCCTTCGTAGAATGGATCAAGGCTCCCGAAGTTCACGAAGGACGAACTCAGGTCGGAGACTCTAGGTGGTCGAACAAGGATCTCGAGCCGACGCCGCCAGAACAAAGAACATGGACGTGGTACAACTTGCCTTTGTACTGGTTCTCAAACATGTTTGGGACGACCGGGTGGAACGTCGCGTCTTCCCTCATCGCCGTGGGTCTGGTAAGTTATCAAAAGACAGCATCGTTGTTCATATGCGCTGACAAAATCAGACATGGCAACAAGCCTTTGTATCCTGCGTTCTTGGCTCACTCATATCCGCTATTGTCGTTACTGGTATGGCGAGACCTGGCGTGATGTACCACCTAGGATAGTGCGTTTAAACACTCCTCCCACGTTTGGTATTTTCTGACATTTTTTCAAGTCCTGTTCTTGCACGATCGGTGATGGGAATGTATGGATCATACTTCTTCATCTTTATCCGAGCAATTGTGTGCATCATTTGGTACGGTATTCAGACCTACTACGGCGCGAACCTGTTGTCCGTTTGCTTCCGCTGCATTTTTGGAAACAGCTGGGACAACTGGCCCAATATGCTTCCCACTGGTGCCGACGTGACTTCAAAGCAGCTGCTGGCGTTCTTTCTCCTTTGGCTGGTTGAGTTCCCGTTTGTGAGTATATGTAGTGTGCGACCCTCTAATGACATGCATTCCCTGACATTGGCGGCAGACCTGGGTACACCCGATTCATATTCACTACATCTACACCGTGAAAGGCTTCATCATGCCATTCGCGTGCTTCGGACTCTTCGGCTGGTGTATGTCCTATGGAACCGGAATCTCTAATATTGGCGCTGCATCTGTCGCAGGCGCATCGGCAGCAGCTAAAACACCCGTCGGATGGGCTATCATGAGCGGCATCAATGTCATCATGGGTTCTCTTTCGCCAATGCTCGTGAACCAACCTGATCTCGCGCGGTACTGCAGAGAGCCTCGAGATGCCGGTTGGCTCCAAGGAGCATGTGTCTTCTTCGCAAAGATCCTCGTCTTCTTCCTTGGCCTAGCTTCGACGACCTCATTACAGGGTGCTTGGGGCAAGGCCTACTGGAACCTATGGGATCTTCTTGACGCCATCCTTGACCATTACTGGAATCCGACCGCCCGTGCTGGTGTCTTCTTTGTATCGTTCAGTTTCATTCTCAGCGTGCTGGCGACAAACTTTGGAGCAAACTCGCTACCTTTTGGCGCGGACATGACTGGACTGTTCCCCAGGTACTTGACGATCCGTCGAGGCCAGATCGTTTGTGCAATCCTCGGTATTGTTGTATTGCCGTGGAAGCTTATTGCAAACGCGTCCGCGTTCATCTCATTCCTCGGGAGTTACAACATCTTCATGGCTCCCCTTTGCGCTGTGAGTACTTCAACGCCCAGTCTTGAAAACCAGTCTTGAGAACGTATTGCTGACTCTCACCAGATTATCATTTTCGACTACATCTTGGTTCGAAAGGGTAACATACACGTGCCGTCGCTGTATAATGGCTCTAAAGAGGGTCTCTACTGGTTCAATTCTGGAGTCAACTGGGTTGGGGTGTTTGCCTGGATCGGCGGTACGGCAATGGGATTGCCCGGTCTCGTCGGGCAATACCAGCCTCATATTGTCAGCCAACCGGCTAAGTACATGTACATGATGGGCTGGGTGTTGACGTTTTTTTCATCAGCCATCTTGTATGCTGTGTTAGTGCAGTTCTTCAAGACCAAGGTGTATCCTCCAGGCCATGAGAATGCCCCGATGGACTACGAATGGCTGGCGAAAGAAGGCCGGGATGGGTTCTTTGAGGGCGAAAGGGAAGGCGAGATTTATGCGCCGCCATCTCCGCGCATTGACGAGGCTGAAGAATTGCACTTGGGAGAGAAGGTGCAGAAATTGGAGGCCTAGTTGTGGTTCCCCAATGATTGATGGCTGTCGAGAACTCAATCCCCCACTTACTCCTACTTTGCTTTTGAGATGAATTAGTTATGGAAAAGATCTTAGTAGAAGGCAGAATGCTAGGAACGACAGGTATTGTGGTAGTCTCAGTGACAGTATGAGAAGAACCACAGCAGTGGTAGAAGTTGTGAGAACGTCTCGTGGGACAAGAATCCCCGCCAACTACTTGGCATCCTTTTGACTTCATGTTGCCATGACGTGACTGGAGAAGCCGCCCCAAAGCAGCCCCGGCTAGCCAGCAAAGGCAATCCGTTGCGTAAGTCAGCGGGTCACCCTCGGCCTCTCAAAATGTAAGCGTTGGAGTTTCGGGCAACAATTATCAGAATGCACGCCTCATTCGGTGGAAAGATCCCGAATCGGACGTATCGCAGTCTGCTGTTGAAGGCGTAGGCGGAAATATTGCGGGGGAAACGAACGCGGCGGCGGATCTGAAGCCGACGATAACGGCCTGCGGGGTTGGGGTATCAGGGATGGCCCCTCTTACGGCCATTGGAGTCACCGGAAAACATCTTTGAAATAGCCGGATTGCCTCCAGATTACTCCAACTCTTGAGAACTCCGCGATTTTGTTCATGTTCTCATCCCGTTTCATAGACTCTGCAAACTCGAGAGTTACCTTCTGAACCTCTGGAGCTCAGAACAGCTACGGTACCGGAATTATTCACGAGGCTATTGAGTGCATACCTTGGACAGAGTCCACTGTAACCGTGGCGCTCTGACTCTGTTAATACCCCGCCTTCTTGTTCTGGATCGTCTCCCACTGAAGCACTTGACGAGTTTGTATTGTCAAAACGTTTATCTCTGATATCTTTTCTTGACAATAGCAAAACTGCAACACCATCACAAAATGGCAGTTGAACCGTATAGACTTACGGCGACCCAAGCGTCAGCCAAGATAAGGGCCGGGGAGTTAACTGTGGAAGAGTACGCGCGCTCGCTCTTGTCCCACATTGAGGAGAGAGACCCCGTAGTCAAAGCTTGGGAGTACTTGAACCCAGAGCAGGTGATTGCACAAGCGAAGGCAATGGATGCGATACCGCCAGAGAAGCGCGGACCCCTACACGGCGTAGCCATCGCAGTCAAAGACGTTATTTACACAAAGGGTCAGCGAATATTAGCCTGTGATTCTACAGGATCGCTAATCGAAATCTAGATATGCCAACACAGCACGGATCTCCAATCTACGCTAGAGACGCTCCCAAAGTCGATGCCGGTTCCATCATAATTTTGCGACAGGCTGGCGCGCTGCTTCTTGGTAGGTCCATGCTGATAATTCAACCCGACCCCAGCAATGCGATACTGACAAAAGTAGGCAAAACAACCACGACCGAATTCGCAGCGACGGTTCAAGGTCCAAAGACAGTGAACCCACACGGCACGAACCGAACCCCCGGTGGCTCCTCGTCAGGATCAGGCGCCGCCATCGCGGATTTCCAAGCGCCTATCGGCCTAGGCACCCAGACAGGCGGAAGCACGATCCGCCCAGGATCTTTCAATGGCATCTACGCCCTGAAGCCGACATGGAACTCCATCACGCGCGAGGGTCAGAAGATTTACTCCTTGATCCTAGATACCCTCGGTTTCTTCGCCCGCAGTGTCGAAGACCTGCAATTGATGGCTGATGTCTTTGACTTGAAAGACGATGAGCCCCCGAAGGACACCTTCGCTGTCAAGGGCGCCAAGTTCGCTCTGTTGAAGACGATGGTGTGGCCTCAAGCTGGACCTGGCACCCAGTCCGCGATGGCGAAGGCTGCGAAGCTTCTCAAGGCTCACGGAGCCGAGGTCGAAGAGATTGCATTTGATCCCGAACTTCAAGAGCTACCTCAGTGGCATGCGACTGTGCTGCACAGCGACGGAAGATCCGCTTTCCTGCCCGACTACCGCGCTGCCAAGGATCAACTGCACGAGTTCTTGGTTTCGCATGTTGACAACACGAACAAGATTAGCAGAGCGGAGCAGCTAGAAGCATTCGACAACATTGCCATCGCAAGGCCCAAGGTTGACAAGATGTTGGGCAAGTATGATGCCGTTTTGGTGCCTAGTGTCGTTGATGAAGCGCCGGAAGGAACCTCGAGCACCGGAAGCGCAGCTTTCAACGCTCCCTGGACAGTGAGTCTGTCGAAAGCGATGTCTTAAGTTGTCACTACTAACGAGGGTGATAGGCGCTGCATGTTCCGGTCGTCAACATTCCAGGTTTCAAGGGTCCCAACGGGATGCCAGTTGGCGTTTCCCTTGTAGCTCCTAGGTATCACGACCGTCATCTCTTGGTGGTCTCCAAGGCGGTCGGCGAGATCTTCGAGGCGGAGGGAGGCTGGAAGTCTGCTTTGTAATTGTGACCCATACGTCATCTGTGACAGGGAACCTCTTATTCACTGTAGTTTTCCTGAGCTTCGGTGGAGCCGCTCAGCATATGTTGGATGTTGTAGCGAAGGCTTGGAGACTTAAGGCCTTTTTTATTTCATGATCTCATTATGCATCTGTAAGCTGCAACAGGTCCGATTGAGCGGGGTCAACTCTGCATAGTGGGATCATTTACGACCAATAAGGAATACAACGCGGAGGCTTCCACTACCACTGCCGCCGCTGCTATTGTCCTTAAAAACGGAGTTTGCATCGCCAAGACGAAACATACCTGCACATCCTCAGCCGTTTCCCGCCGTGACCTCTCGAACAGGTCGGTGTCATTAATGTCTGTCTGGCAACGCCTTTTTCAGCCCTGCTGGCACATGCGCATGTCGAGTAGGCCACGCTGCTCTTGTCGTATGGAGACTGGAAGCGATCCAATATCAAGGAGCGCGGCTGCCTTGATTGTCGTTCTGGTTCTTTTACAGCTTTCAACTGTTCGTGGCAACTCTAATATACCGCTAGATAGAATTCTGTCTCGTCTCCCTGCCATGATGATGCAAACTATAAGTCAAAATAACTGGAAACGCATACAACACTGGGAATCAACTGATGATTCACAGGCCATTCAATCACTCGGTCTTTGTTGAAACCTTCTATTGAGTTGTGACTTTCCTTTTGGGACAGTTTCCATAACCTTGAAGTAAAGAACGCTGCTCCTTTGTTCTGGTTTGGACGACTGTGGCACAAAGTACAGTACTCACCGATGAAGCACTGCCCAGAAGTAGTTGATAAACTGTTCATCTGATATCTGCAGTTCTAGTAGGTGAACAAGGGACATGTATCAAAAGTCTGCAACTTCATCTCCCGCAAGTAAAAGGGGACGAGAAAAAAGAAAAGAAGTCCACACAATTACGTGTATCAAACAGGCGAGAAAAATTGCCATTCGTCCATAATTAGGTCAGCCAATCGTTCAGCCTGTCAGGCTTCCTATCAGGCTGCCTGACATGGGAGCTATGCTTGACACTATCACTCAAAGCCACCACCGAATTTCCAATGGCTGAGACTCAGCCGCTAGTCAAAGCTCCTGATTCGATGCCGAGATGCCAGGCTCAGGGGTAGGCAAGCTATATTATCCGCCACAACCCCTCCCGGCGTCAATGAACGATGTATCTTTTCAGGCTGGAATGGAAGGTCCATCCGACTGCCCAGTCAGGCGACCCTAAATATTCACCTGACACCATCTCGGCCTATATAAACCGGGAGACGTTCTCCAATCTCTTACTTTCAACTTACACAGAAGCAACACGGGCTTACTTGATCATTGGTCAACAACTTCAACGGACCCTTAATCAACCTCGATATACAATACCAACAGTCTGACTGTGATCGAACCGCACGCTCCCAAATGAGGGTTGGAGCTTGTAATTTGTTACTGTTCTAGATCTGACTACTCGTAAGGTAGTCGTAATATATCGACTCTTTTGCCTCACCTTGAGCAACACACACTCCCCAGAATATTTTTCAGGGAAAAAGAATGAGTGTTGGCCGCCTCCAAGCTGCGTTGGCCAGCGCCACAAACGAGGTCACCGTTGCAGCCGCAAACATTAACTTCGACTTTACGCTTGTCAAGTATGAAGCTCCAAAAGAGTACCAACCTCTTGGTGCACTCCTTTCTCCTAAACGCAAGGAAAATGCAGAATTTGGACCTTCACACTGTACAGCACGCCGGCTGGCGTCCTTGTTCCAGGATGTCTGCCCGGAAACGCCCAATTTGATCAGCGCCTATGGGAAGCGGGTGTCGGAGATCTCGACGAGGGCGACGAAGAGACAGTCGACCAAGTTTGCTAATTCCATGTTCGAGTCGTACGCTGGTATAGACGCGACATCCATCTGGGCTGCTGCCACATCGTCGGATCCTGCTGCGGCCGACAGGGGCGCATTGCACATCCACCTGCTGGCTAGCATGCTCGCCAAGATGTGGACGGCACCCGAAGCCGTGTCGATTTGGTTCGAGCTCATCTCCGAGAGGCAACGGATGATAAGCGAACAGCTGGAAAGAGGTGACGCCTTGCCGTTCTCGCTTGCGGCGGCAGCGGCACAACGTCAGATACAGCGCTCTCAGCTCGCCGAGTGGGACGCCAGCGCCAGAGCCTGGCTGCAGACGGCCGACTCGGTTATGGTTAAGGAGCAGGACCAGCTCCGAATTATTCTCGAAAATATCGAGCTATCCACCAGCAGAGACCAGAGCAAGGCTTCGATGGTCTACCTGAGTGTGACCCAAGCATGGTGTAGAGCATTGATGGTAATGGAAAGGCTTGTGTCTGGCGTCGCCCAGGAGGTCCACGATGGGGCGGCTCTCGTTGGCCTCACGGCCTGGCACATCTATCCGGATATTCATGTATTTGGATCGAAAACTGTCAAGGTATCGCTAGAAACCGCGCAACCTCGCGCATCAGTGCCCAGTCCCATCATCGGTGGAATGCGGATCACACATTGGACAATGACAAGGAGATCCATCACCGGACGACACAACGGAGCCCGGCGCCGTTCTCTTTCAAGGACGGTTATGTTTACAGCCACCAACACGGCACGCCCATCCCCATGTCGCTGTGGTTCGGCAACGTACACGGAGTGGCTCTCTATCAGCCGTGCGATCTAGCTAGACCTGCCATGCCTCCGGCGCAAGTAGAACTGGAAGATCTGCTCTGGGCTCTCGAGTATGACCTAATGGCGGACATCCGAATTCCCGAAGATACAGTGTCGTCCACCTTGAGTCTCTTGGCAGTCGCCCACTCTACGGTGCTAGGGAGGCTTGAGGGATTGATGATCCGGCTCAAGACTTTGTCGAAGCCGCTCACGGAAGCCAAATGGGCGAAGGAAGTCGCCGTCAACTTCGACCAACATTATAACGCTGGAATGTACCGATGGACACCTGGAGCTCTTCCTAAATCTATTAGCGTGTTGTCGTATTTCATATCTGAATGCGACCTGCGGCCGACCGATATCGAGGAAAACGTTTGTGGCGTCTCTTTCGGAGACTCTATATTTGTCCCAGAGAACGTAAGATGATTCTTTTTCTTTCTACAAACCGTCGCCGAAACTTTCCATCGACAGCATGGGTATCGACCTCGGTCAACATAGGGTTTCGAGTCTCAATCGACGTTGCTGATGTATTTTAGTTGACCCGCGATCCGTTTGAGGCTTCTGATGAGCAGGCCATCGTACGAGTTTTGGGAAATATAGGCCTTCCGGGCTTCGTTATGTTCTCTTCCGTCATGGAACCGATGGTGTCGGAGGTCAGCGAGTCGTCCTGGAAGGTAATCAACCAGAACATCTTCAACGGCCGCCCCGAGAATGCGTTTGGCTCGACGTCAATGCACCTATCCTTCACCAACTGGGAGAGGTCTCTTGAGGAGCCGATGTCCGGGGGTCTACAGGATACGCAAGTCATGAAAATGGAGTCCGTTGTCTCCATTCGTGAGGCTGGCTCTTGGGTCGGCGACGTCGACGTCGTCCGCGCGCTCCGTAACGAGCGCGTGAGCAAGCTTCGCCCGCAGCCGTCCTGCACCCACGCCATAGATGGGCTCTACGGAGCGCATCTTACGTCGATTGAATCCTGGGATGAGCTGAGGAATTGCAACTCGGGGAACGTGGTGATCAGAGCACACGGGAATTGGGTAGCACGGCTCGCCTGCATAGCTTTTCTATCGCAGGGTATCCAGCGGGGTGACTTCAGGTTTGAGAGTGTCATCGTCTGCCCCCAGCAAGTCTGTTGGAAATGTGTCGAGAAGTTTTCGCCTTGCGTTTACGTGTACTAGAAATTGATTCCTCCTCTTGTCTGGCCATACACCGAGTGTAAACACCAGCCTCAGAGGACCCGTGTTAACAAAAAAATGAAAGCAAAAACCCCACTATTGATACGAGTGTAGTACAGGAGCATGTCATGTTGGTGTTTCGCCGTGAAATCTTGCCGAACTCCATTTACAAGACTGCCCACAACCGCAGCACGACTCCGGTCACCACGTACCCGTTTACTCGACTCGGGCAACTTGGTGTCGGCGTCATACAGGGCGTTATGACTAAGGAAGCACAGGGACTTGTTGGCAAAATGGCATGAATCCATCCGTCTCCAATCTCTCATCAGATTGCCTTCCAATATCCTCTAATAACCTGCCGTAAGGTATTATCACTCCGCGCAGGCATGTCCAGACGTCATTCTGTGCTCGATGAGATGCTACTTTCCAACGTCGCGGGCCTGATTTACAAAAGCGAGACCGAGCAGAGTTGCACTTGCAGCTTTAAAAACATGGCGAAGATCAAGCGGATTTGCTTTGTAATCGGATGTAATTTCACCATAGTTTTCAGGACTAGTAGCTTTTAGGATCACGATTTACTCTCGAAACTTCGATCTCCGCTACTTAGGTAGCTATCTATCGGCTACCTAGCGGATGTTAATTACGAATTATTAAATTAGAAGTCTAATTCGACCGTGGTATACGGCCAACTGCGCAGGGGCTAATTAGGGGCCCTATTTATAATTATTATAGCTAGCTTAACCTATAGTTAAAACCTCTTTTTTATATTTATATAAAAATTTATATAGTTTAATTAATCTCTTTATTAAACCACGGTTTAAACTAACTACCCTATAATAGGGATACTAACACGAATCCTCTACTAGCCGTGATGATGCAATGCATCCTCGATTGATTATTAAACTTTTTTAAATTTCTCAAACTTCGCATATTCCGATTGGAAAGATATTGCCTCTGACAGGCATGACAGTCAGGATTGTGAGAGACTCATAAGAGCTTGGGCATCTGTAAGACTAAACAGTAGTATGTAATTACCACATGTAAACACCCTTTGAGTAGAACCCGACCATGTCTTCTATCCCTATCACACAGAGAGCAGCAGTGCTTGAGCAGCACGGTAAGCCTCTCGTTATTGTCGAAGACAGACCCATCCCAGAAGCCATTCCAGGCAGTATCATCGTCAAAGTCCTCGCTGCACCACTATCGCGCTACGCCCGAACCACATTCGACGGCACGATCCTTGCCCCCCCTCCTCGATTCGCCCTTTGTCCCGTGCCCAAGAACTCTCGGGTACGTGCACAAAATTAGCAGTGGCACAACATCCTTCAAAGAGGGGGACTTGGTACACGTTGAACCTGTAGTCACGGCTCGCGATGATCCGAATGTGTTCATCATGCAAGGCTACGTCAAGGGACCGCCTGGCGATAGGACTGACAGATTGGCCGAATGAGAATTTCGCGACGGTGTTCTTCAGCAATATCAGCGCGTTCCGCTCGAAAACATCTACCTTATAGATGAGAAACTCGTCAGAGAGTTAGGCGTCGACCTGATCAACCTAGTCTCCATTAGCACGTTTTCTCCAGCCGCCGGAGCTATCTTCGAGTCAGCGAAGCTCAAAGTCTGCGATACAATCATCATTGGACCATCGGACGGGTCCTTTGGTGGAAGGGCTGTTGAGTTGGCCTTGGCGATTGGAGCAAACGTCGTTGCCCTTGGACGAAACGCAGAGTTGCTACAAGCCATGAAGCATAGCTTGAAGTCTTCTCGGCTTAGTACCGTTCTCATGATGGGTGACGTCGATGCCGATGCCGCTGCCATTCTTGCGGCCACACCTGGTGGTGGAGGGGCGGACATCTACAATGATTGGTCTCCTGGCGGCGTCACCGTCGCTCCATTTCTGCCATCAGCTATTCGCGCGCTCAAACCAGGCGGGCGAATCGTAGTCAGCGGTGGGACTTTAGGCTTATTAGAGGTTCCGTATATATCAATGGTGTTCAACAGGTTGTCAGTCAACGGTTCATTCATGTGCAATCGCGAGTCTATGATAAGACTGATTTATATGATTGAATCGGGGCAGCTTGATATTAGCACTGGAAGTGGCACTCAGGTTCGAAAGTTTGGACTCAACCAGATTGACAAGGCTATCTTAATCACTGAAAGAACAACTCGATGGAGGAGCCACACTGTTGTAATTCCTAATCAGATCGACTAGCAGCTCCAGGGTGCTCAGCATTACTTTCATAGTCTTTAGCTTGATTGAAACCATTTCAATTTCATCCAGACAACTTCTATGTCTTGAGAAGATTAAGCATGACAATTCTTGGACGGTGTTAAGAGAGAAGAGAAAAGAAAGACTTCATACTTTATCTGCTTCAGTAGTTGTATGATTGTGCATCAGCCGCTCCCCCATGCTCACTTGTCAGCCCCCGGTCCAGCGCCACATTCCCTGAGTTCCGACATCGAAGGATGCAGTGCAACGCTGCTGCCTGATTGGGCGATTTTACATCTCCAAGTCCTCAATTTTGTCTTCCAACCTCACTCCAACTTTCCCGTCGCCTATTCAACCTCAATATTGCCAAATTGCAGAGAGTCAAATGAGACAGTACCACTAACTACCTTACAATGGCGAGACCAAACGTAATACACGAGCCCTTCTCGAGTCTGGCCTTAGACCCCTCATCACCACCTCTCCCACTCCTAATCAAAACCAAGAAATCTCCACTCCGTACTCTCTTCACCCGCAAATCCCTTCCCCCTCTCCAAACCACTCCCCTCCCCTATACCCCCCTCAAACAAAATGAAATACGCCTCGTCAACCTTCAAGCGGGGCCTCCTTCAACCCCAGTAACCCTCACAACCGAAACAACACCCCTCTCATCAGCAGGATACACAGCCCTCTCCTACGTCTGGGGCAGTCCCTCTGACACCCTCGCCATCTACGTCGACAACCACGTCTTCCATGCCACAAGGAACCTTCACTCCGCCCTCCAGCACATTCGCCTCTTCCTGAAGCCATCTCAGATCATCCCGCTATGGATCGATGCCATATCGATAAATCAGGCAGATACCGTAGAACGAAGCCAGCAGGTCTCGCATATGCGGGAGATTTATACTTCAGCAGACTTAGTTTTGACCTGGCTCGGTCCAGATCTCGCCCTGGGGCTAATGTACCTCCGCGAACTAGGCGACCACGCACTCACCGTCTCTCGAAATCGCAAAGAGGCTCCAAAACTTCTTCCCATCCATGTCAAAGACCGGTATACGACCATCCGGGAGACTGTCAGAGTCTTCCAGTCAACCTACTGGAACCGAGTCTGGACGGTACAGGAGTACACCGCTCCCACTGACTTCGGGGTCTTCCTCTCCGGTACGGCGTGGGTAGATCGTACTGCCTTCCTACCCGCCGCGATGATCTACACGCAAGCGTTGCACTGGTTTAGAGATGGCTTACGAAGACGGGGTGCAGATGCTTCGTTTGTGGACGCGACACTTCCGAGGGTGAAGAAGGTTGTTCATGATCTCAAGATGAGCTATGCGCGGATGCCGACTTCTAATGACACTGCTCGAGCAACCGATGAGATGAAAGCCTCATCCAAAGTTGATCGGATCCGTCAGGTTGAATCAAGGCATGGAGAAATCTCAACCGTCCGCAGATTCAACCTCATCAGCCTCCTCTTACGATTCCGCGATCTCCAAGCAACAGACCCGCGAGATCGCATCTATGCCCCGCTGAACCTCCTCGATCAAAGCCCCACCAAGGAGCCCATCATTCCTGTTGACTATTCCCTCACTGTTCGACAACTCTACACCTCCGTCGCTGAATGCCTTTTAGAAGACGAAGACTACTGGCCTCTAAGCACCCTCGAAATCTGCCGCTTCGGGTCGTCGGACTTACCGTCGTGGGTGCCAGACTGGCAAGTCCTTCCAAGAAAGGTACTCTCAAGGGACGTCACCACAGGGGAGCAAGTTGTCTGCGCGAGTAAAGGATACCCCGTTGACATAAGGCCTTGGAAGGTGCTGGACAAGACTCGGTTGCAAATATCAACTATAAAGGTTGATATCGTGGCGAAAGTATGGGACGCATTTGACGCACTGAGTGTGCCTCGAACAAAGTCCTATCCAACGTACACCCTCAAGAACCCCGGGGAAAAATACGCTATCGGAGAACAAACGGTATTAGAAGCCTTTCACGGACTAGCAAGTATCGAACCGAGACCTGAAGGTGGTGAAGAGGTGGGAATATATCGCCAAGAGGACTGGCATCGCAACCCAGGCATGATGAGCCGGTTCAATCGCCGCCGGTTAATCCGTACTGAACGCGGGTTCGTCGGTCTGGCACCGGCTGAGGCCGTGCAAGGTGACAAGATCTGGCTGGTCCCCGGCGCGAACATGCTGTACATCTTCAGACCTGTAGCAGATGGTGGAAGTCACGCGCTTATCGGCGAGGTTTACCTCCAAGGTCTCATGCACGGAGAGGCACGAGAGTTCCTAGGCGATGCTGGAAAGCATACTGTCATTACACTCGTTTAGGGTATAGCTTCTATCATGAAAAGGACCGACCCAATATCTACAAACTTTTCCCATTTCCCGCATTAGACGTGACGCGGTTGCGCACCACAACTCATCATTAACCACTCTTCTCCCTCCATCGTCCTCAATCAACGACTCAAGCCCACTTGCCGAGCACACTCATGATGATCATGCCGGCGATGAGACCGAAGAAAGCAAGGGCCGTAACGATCGGGCCAGTGCTCAGGAGCTCCGCGCCAGGAAGCATCCAGTCCTCGGCCCACATCTCCACAACACCAACCCAAACGAGGATACCGGCCGAGAGCGCGTCGAGAGTACCGATGGCGATGATGGTGTCGCGGTCGTTGCCGTTGAACCGCGAGAGAACGCCGATGCCAATGGCCATCCCGATGGGGGTGACGAGCGCAAAGGGAGAAGCGAGAATGAGCTTCTTGACGAGGGAGAAGCTGGGCTTCTTCAGGGAGTTGAGGCTGCCCTCGGCGGAGGCGGTTTGCTCGACTTCGGCGGGCGCACTCGAGGTAGGACGCTCTGCCATTTCAGCCGGGGTCGGCTGACCGAGCTGGGCAATGCGAGTGCCAAGTGCGATACCCTCAAACATCTGGTGGAACAGAATGACAACAAAAAGAGTCAGGAAGAAGGTATCACCGGCCACGACAAGGGTGATACCGATCACTATTCAATCCTTTGTTAGTATGCTACAGTGAGGGGGTGATCTAAAAGGGCAGCGTACAGATAGAGTGGAAGATGATGCCGCACTCAAGGACCAGGACGGTGACTGTCTCCGGGGAGAAACGGGTCATTGCACCAGGATTGGCGGCCATCTTCGCCAAAACCATGCGCTTTCCAATGTACTCGACCAGGAAAGACAGGAAGATACCAGCCATGACAATCGCAGAGGTGGTTCCCTCGTAGCCAAGACTGCCCAGACACTCATTGCCAAACATAAGCTGGGCGTGGGTATACAGATGGATGAAGGCGGTAGAGATGATGATACCCGTGCCGAACTGCTTGAGAATGAGGAAGATGGTGTGCGTCTTAGTGGGCATCCACTTGATCATGAAGATGGGGAAGTAGACTCCGAAAGCGCTGGTGACCAGGATTACGAAGAGGAGACCGATACGCAGAGGAATGTTATAGTCGCGCGTAACCTTTTCGCAGCTTCTCGTGCCGCTGCTGTTCTCGCTCTCGCCTGCGCCAACGCAATGCTCGACACCAGCGTGGAAATGACAATTCTCGCCCTGGGGTTCTTCTCCGCTAGTGTGGTCTTGGTCGGAAGACTCGGCGCCCTCAGCAACGATGGCAACATCATCTCCATTAGGAGCGAGACAATAAGTTTCAGTGCCGTGAGCATGGCAATCAGTGAAGGCCGTTGGTATCGCTGAGGCGGCAGTGTTGGTGGGCGTCGTCATGACCTGATATTCCGTAGTGCCCCACATACAGAAGCTGGAAAGTTCGTCAGCGAAGATTGCTACCGCGTAGAAAGAAGCGCTTACACCGTGACTCCGTGAAGGTGGCAGTCAGACACTGCCGTGGGTGCGCCAGTCGCAGCGGCAGCAGCCGTCGTCGTGGCAGCGGTGGCAGCCGGCGCATTGGCGGCCACGACTTCAACCTCGCCATCCGGATAGAAGCAATACCTGGTGTCGATTGTGTTAGAAGAGGTTGCTGACATGGTATTGAATGAGCTTACAAGTCAGTTGCATGCTTGTGGCATCCAGTATACGAACTGGGCAGTGTGCCAGTAGGGGTAGACACGACTGTGAACTCTGTCGTTCCAGCTTTGCAGATCCTGAAGTAGATGAAGTATGAGCAGGTGTTTGACGGCGTAACAGTAATGAAGCTACTAAGGGTTCTTACTGAGTGGACGAGGCAACGGAGCACTGAGAGATGGCCGTGGGATCAGACGCAGCAGCCGTGGTAGTGGTGCTAGCAGCCGTTTGCCGTGCGACAAGGGAAGCCGAGGTAGTACTCAGAAGAGCCGCAACGGCGGCAGCGGTAGTGAACCTGACCATGGCGTCCGAGTCTAGATGTTGAAGAAGCTGCCAGTGATAAGGTAGAAGCGAGCCTGGGCCTTGTCTGTGCTGAGATGGGCGGACAGGGCTGAATTTCTCCGGACGAAATCCAAGAGCGGATGGTGTTGCAGGAAGCGTCAAGCTGCGCTTATCGGCAGGGTGGTTCTCGTCTGGGTGTTTTATGGAAGAGAATTTCTTGTCAAGGTGGCGAGTCTGAAGGACGACCCGTCAGGAGAGGCGAGGAGAGTGAGCACCTTGAGAGAAGTTGTTCAGGTGTGGAAGTCAATTCGCCGAGCCGGTATGTCTGGCCAGTGTAGTCCCTCAGGGTGATGGTATGGCGTATTAGGACGTGGACGAGGAAAGAAGAAGTCTCTGCAGCAGGAGAACTTCTCAAGAGGGACAAGATGCCGGGGAGGCTGGAGGAAGACAGGCGAATACCAAGCGTAGGGTGTTGCAAGTTGCGCGGTAAGCATGCGCAGGTTCGATTGAGTGGAAAAGACTGAAAACAGAATTCGATGCGGCGGATGGGATCCCTGCCAGTTGGCCGTGTTGAATATGCGCGGATATGCCATCCATTGTTCTGCTCCTTCGGGTTCCCCTCCTGGGCGGATTGCTCACTTTTCTTCTAACGCAACAAAGCAATAGCTTCCGATAATTCGTTGTCAGGTTCCTCTGCGCGTCTCCACGGCCCAAGCTTGTCTTTCATTGTCTTGGCCCTCGGTCGCGGCGGCTGACCTTGTCCTTGTCGGATGACTCTAAGGTTGGTTCCCCGTGGGCATGGTATCGTAGCTTGATGCAGCTTGCTGCGCGCCAATGACGGTCGAGGCAATTTTTCAGCCCACATTCGTAGCATATTCCATAGTCAGGTCGATATGGCATCCGCTGGGATAGGAGCCACCGCAGCCCGAGGGAACCATGGAAACGTGGGCATCACAAGCCCCTGTCGTCCAAAGTAAGTGGACCGATGGTGTTTGTCGAGAGAAAAAGCGGGAAGCCAAAAGAGACGAAAAAAAGCATAAGACGACGCGGTCTGTTTGCCAAGGCTGAGAGACCCATCGCCAAGGCTGAGCACCCGGATGGCCAGCCATGGGCCAGGAGAGGGAAGGAAGGGAAAGGCAGCAGCTGGCGAGATGGGAAGCAACGCTGATGGAGAAGCCAAGACAGGAAGTCGCGATGTCCAGTGGGTGTTTCCTGCTTGTTGTCTCTGAGGACCCGCTCTGATTGGGCACAGACCAGCTGAAGTGGCTTAACGTCGGGTCCACATGCCTCCTTTCACCCGGTACGTACCACCCACATGTCCCCCCACATGCACGTCAAAATAAGAACCTTGATGGCCTCCCGCAACGTCCCTCCTTTGCTTCTCACTTCTCTCTCTCACTCACTCACTCACTTGCAGTCTCATCTCACTCATGCACAATTTCACACCTGACTATGGTTCACCTTCCCCTCCGACCTTGATGGTTATAAGTGGCGACGCCTGCATGCCAAGGCTTCTATAAAGTAGACCGGGTCGACCAACCACCATCATGATGAGGGCTTTTCGAGGTTTTCTGCTTTAGCTAAGGGTCCTCGGAGCCTCTCGAATTCAGCTCCTCATACTCCGTATCGGTCGTCCATCTTCAACGCCAAGATTGCCTTACTGCAGGCCCATAGGCTCGTATTGCAGAGGAGTCACCGTCGGCAGGCACTTTTGCGCGCTCCTTCGGCCAATCTCACGTGTTGGCGCTTGGGAACCTCTGAATGACACATAGTATTCCCTCCGGCGAGGATCTATCGATGCTGGATGAGACAACTCTGGCTATCAATGTTGCCTTATTGAGACCGGGCTCGAAGGAAGGCAGCAAAATCGGCTGCGTAGTAAAGACGATAACTCCAGACCGTTTCGTGATGTAGTCAGCCACACCATGCTCAGTGAAGTCACCATTACTCCTGTAACGCAATCATGCAAAGACCAGCGGCTGAAGATCCTCACCGGTGACGTGACTAGCAGCATGCCAACGGTTCACGCATGGTTGCAGATATTGACTTGCCGCGGTCTAGACTCAAACCAGCCTGTCGGGTCTGTCACTGTGTCCGTGCCTGAGCTTCTATGCAATAGGTGCAGTTCCAAATGTCAAAATTAAGCCAAGACAGGGGCAGGTGTTTCAGTGGCTGATGATCGCGGGCACGAGGTAGGGAACATGTATAGTCTAGCAATGCGTATTTTGTTTCCATGCTACAATTAAAGCCCATCTCCATCTGGAGTGGAGGGGAAGAGAAATGCCCTTAGGTGGCCCAGCTTCTCGAAGTTTTCCCCGATTTGGCCTGCCCGCTGTCCTACTACAGCCGTCATACCGACACCCCATCCAATGTATGTTCATGAATCCCAATTCGTGTATCCGTAGATGCCCAGAAGGCACATAATCCATTTTTTTCATCAACGAACCCCTTACAAAGCCATGAGCGCGACAGCGATGGCAGCAGCACCAAAACCAGCGCGAGCAGCTCCGGCAGGAACGGCAGTAGAGCTGGGAGAAGCGCTGCCAGCGGCAGTAGTTCCAGTGGCGCCAGTAGTAGCCGCAGCAGTAGTGGTGACGGCAGCGGATCCAGTGCCCGAGGCAGAGGCGGTGCCAGAGACGGCGGTGGCAGCAGCATCGCAATGCCTATCTGATGCGTTAGATCATCTTGAGGCGGCAAGGAAGTCAGTATATTCTAAACGTACCAGTGGTCGCCATGGGGCTCGCAGCCGACAGACTCAGTGGGAGAAGGAGCAAGGCCGCCAGTGCCGGAAGTGTGGTCGTCATCGTGGTCGTGGTCGTGGTCCTCGGTGGCGGTGGTGGTCGCGGCAGCAACGCTTGTGAGGAGGGTGGTTCCGCTAACTGCTGCGGCGGTGGTGGCGCGCGCGCCCTCGCAGTGCCTAAAGGCGAATGTGAGAATGGCGTCAACTTCTGTCGGAAGTGGAAGTCTGAGCTTACCAGTGGTCACCGTGAGGCTCGCAGCCGACACTCTCCGTCGGTGAAGGAGCCAGGCTTTCGCTCTGAGCAAGAGCAAAGGCAGCAAAGCCGAGTATGGAAAGAATCTGAGAGGCCTTCATGTTGATAATTTCGGATGGATGTCAGGCGAACTTTGGTGTGGATCAAGGTGACTGATCGCGAATGATTGTCAATAATCAACGAGTGTATGTAGGCATAGGCGTGGAGATGGAACAAACTGTGAAAAGGCTGTGAACATGCGAGGTTTATAAAGATGGTTTTGTGTTCAAGCGAATAAGCTACGAATGTCCACCGCCAAGACGAATCGCCTGAGAATGAGCATCAAGGTGTTAAGGTAAGCAACTCCTGGCGAATCTTGGCACGGAAAAAAACTACAATTATGAAAATTGACTGGTCCTTCCAAGGCGTTGGTTGATTGTTTTGTTGTTTGCAATCAATTCAGCCAGGCCAGTTCGCCAAGAAACCACGCAAGTCAGGTTATCCGCGGAGACTACGGGGTATCACAACGTGCTTATCCCTCCCTTTCGACTTGGCACATGCTCAACCTGCCCGGTTCTGTTTACCGTCAATCGATCTTTCAAGGATCACCTCGCCACATGTAGTACCTCAAGCTCCAGTCAAAGGAGTGGTTGGATTCCGGTTTGATCTCGTAATGCGGCACCCATGTCAGGCCTGCGTTTGCCCAGGCGCGAAGAGGCGGGCCGGGCCATCAAGGTCCTCAAAGTGGAATCCTTGACTTAGCACATCATCACGGCATCGAGGACCTTTCGAAAGCCGCATCAAGTGAGTATCTCTGAAGGTGTTAAGATTCTCCGTAGTTGTTGTTTAGTTGCCTCTTACTGGCTATTCTGCGCAGGAGCTTTTGCCGTTTCCGATACTTCAAGGTTGCAATTGATCCCATATATGATGCTAATCAGCCAACGGGCCTTTCCTCTTCCCAAATCCCTGGGTCCTTTTGCATCATTGCCAAGCCTTCAAAGAGCCCCTTTCAACCGGCTTTGTAGGATTGTCCCGAGTTTCGACGACAAACCACCTTTGTTGGACGGAGTTCGATCTACGGGCGGGACTCCGACTGCCAGCCAGTCTCCTGACGGAACCATCAAGCTCACATCTTAGATCACCTCAGCCTTGTGCCAAGCGCTTTCTGTCTTTCTTAACAACGAGAAGCCAACTTGTCAGAATCGAGCAGATACCAACCACGAGTACCGACAAGTTGACCGCATACGAGATCCGATATCTAGGGCCGAACACCGTGCTGAATACGTGTGGGCCGACAATACCGCTGTAAATAAGGATCAGGAAAAGGCTACTCGATTAGGAATCGTTTTGGACGTACCCGAATTGAGCGCACGCATTTGTCATGCCAATGCCGATCCCAGATGCCACGGTTCCTTCAAGTGCTCTGATGCGCTCCGGCCAGATTACTGGGTACGCGCACCCAGCACAGGCCACGGAGACGATCAAGCAGATGTAGCGCACCACCGGGTTATCGACAAAGAGAAGAATGATATAGCATACGATAATTGTTGATTCAACTGCGTCCGTTAGCTGCGCGCTACGTCTAGGTGATTCTCTAGGCGACTTACTTCCTACGGCTGTCACCCATGGTCTGATCCACTTTCTTTGAAGCATAAAGCCCAACGTGTTCAGAAGTAAGAAGGCCGAAACATACGGAGGCTATATGACATCAGTCAAAATCCCTCGACATGACTAAGATCAAGCGCGTGCTTACAATGTTCATCAACTGAGAATAAGCCGTAGTCGTGAAGCCCAGCTGATAAATGACAGTCGGCAACGCGAACCCGACCCCGAACCCCCCGATACCATGGCAGATCCAGTACAAACTGAATGTGTATAGAGTCGGGTCTCGAGCCATGACCTTCAAAGACTTGAAGTCCCAACTCGCTTCTCCCTTGGGCACAGAGCTGGCAAGTCTCTGCTTCATATACAGTCGCTCCTCTTCATTCAACATCTTGGCCGACTCCGGATAGTCAGGCAACCAAAACGCAAAGAACGCAAGGAAGATAGCCGGCAGCCCTTCGAGGATAAACAGCCACCGCCACCCGGACACGTTACCAAGCTGGTCCATATACGAAATGGCGTAGGCCAACAGTCCCGACAGCGCACTAGAAACCTGACCGACGGAGTAAAAGAAGGCGATGCGCTGCGGCATCTCTTCCGGCTTGTACCAGAACGCATAGTGATACAACACTGACGGAAAAAAACCTGCCTCAGCCATGCCGATCGCGAAACGAACACACATCATGCCTGTAAAGTTTATCGCCGCGGCGGAGCAGCACGCAGAAACGCCCCATGCCATTATCAGTATGAACATCCATCTCGAAGGCCTGAACAGCTTCAACAAGATCGTGTTGGTGGGCTCAAAGATGAGATAGCTGTATGAGAAGATTGAAAGCGTCCACGCCCATTGTGATGGGTTGAGGCCGAGTTGCTTCTTGATGCCGGTGCCGGCCTCGAGGTTGATGATAGCTGCATTGGAGTAGTTTGCGCTGTCGATGACGCGGAAGACGTAGACGAGAGAGTAGAAACCCACGAGCCAGAGGTCAATCTTTCTCAAGAGTTTCTTCTCAAAATCGGGCCGAGTATTGCTTTCTTCGGTTTCTGGATCGGAGACATCTATGCTCCCTGTCATTGTCGTCTTTTCGGGAAAGGTCTGTACGTGGTCGGCAACGTAGGCCAATGTCTTGATAGGCTCTCTTGAGGTGGTCATTTTAGACGTCGTCGCGAAGCACTGGAAAGAACCAGAATATCGATTGACACGACTCAATGCGAAGCTAAACTCTCTACAGCTAACCAGTAGCAGTAAGTCAACATACCCACTTCCTGGCACCCCCCTGTTTCTGGCACCCACAAAAACGCGAAAATCCACCACAACCCAATGCCCACCCCCAACCTCCTTTTATCACAACATTTTCAATTCGCGTCCAAATGGGCTCATCTTTTGCACATGTCTTCTTCTATATATAATGCCTCAATATACCGAAGATCAGCTTCGTCAGGCTCTCGAGGA